ATGGTAAGTGGAAATTTTACTTTTTCTCCAGGATATTTAAAACTTTTGGAGAGCAGCAGTAAGTATATCATTTAACCAAACTACCAAATTTAAAATATAAGAAAGAATAGCCAGGCCAGAACATGCTTAAATTGATAGGCTCAGATGTCTCAGTGGGTAAAGGCAAAAATTACATACTCTGGTAAATGCAATGTTGTGATTTCTTGAGTATGGATAAAATGATCCAAGTTGCGTCCAGCGGGCACAAAGTTCATATTCTGAATTGTTAAAGAAGCCACAGATATCTGCACCAGTCTGAAACATATTGTCATATTTCATTAGTTTTCAACTCATTGTTTCTAAATATTTAACATAAATATTTTAATATTTAAATAAATTTTAATAAATATTAAATGTCAATGAAATATTTGAAACAAAATTTGAAATAATATTTAACCTAATATAAATATTTAAAAGAGATAAAAATATGGTTACTTACATAAGATATTCCAAAGAGACTAAATTCCATCATACCTAAAATAAATCAGGAAAAATTTTCTAAGAAATTCATGTATTTCAAGTTTTCTTAGTTATTTTTATAAAGATATTATCTTTCTAAAATTAGCTTCCAAATCAATTGAATGTTTTTGTAATTATTAATATCATTTTCTTTATTTCTTCTTATAACAGTCATACATATTTTTACTGACTATGGTTAATGATGTTATAAGCATAGGACATTATGAGTTTCTTAACACTTGCAATAGGGCATATTTAAAGCACACATTTGTGATGAACACATTACATAGTCAGACCAGGGTGGGGTGTTTGTCTGGTTTCATATTTGCAAAATAGGGATACTGCCTTGGAAATTATGTAACCATAGTTATTCTGAACTGAAACAGATTGAATATCTTTAATATTAATAAATATTCAAAGAGTGATCACTTCAATTATATAGAATACTTTTTTGTTTCATAATCATTTTATTAGGGGCTCATACAACTCATCACAATTCATACATACGTCATTTGTGTCCAGCACATTAGTACATATGTTGACTTCATCATTCTTACAACACCTACTTTCCACTTGAGCCCTTGATGTCAGCTCATTTTTCCCCTTCCCTTCCCGCTCCCCCCTCCCCCTGAACCCTTGATAATTTATAAATTATTATTATTTTATCGTATCTTACCCCATCCGACGTCTCCCTCACCCACTTCTCTGCTGTCTGTCTCCCAAGGAGTAGGCCATATGTAGGTAGACCTTGTCATCTGTTCCCCCTATCTCCCTCACCTTCCCTCCACCCTCCTTCTATAGCCACTCTGTCCACTGGTCCTGGGGGGTTCATCTGTCTTGGGTTCACTGTATTTCCAGTTCCTATCTGTGCCAGTGTACATCCTCTGGTCCAGCCTTTTATTTCTCAACTCTCCCTTTAAAGGGAAATTTCTAAATATATATTGCTTTCCATTAATAAAATGATCAATATGAAAATCTTTTTAAGACTATACATTGAATAATTTTTGTTTGCATTGTAGATGTTAATGCCTTAGTTCATATTTGTTCAAATATTGTCAATAATATATTTCAAAATGTGATTTGAAATGGTTCATTTGTTAATATGTGTGGTTATTGTCATCCAGAATACCTAGTTCTATTTCTAATTTTTAGATAGTCTCTTTCCAACACACCTATTTTGTCAACGTGAAAACTGAGAACCAAACCGGTAAAATTATCATTTCAAAATAAACAAGGTACATAACATTAGTGTCTATACTTATTCTCTAATAATACTTCCTGGGTTACAGCTTTTTAATGATTTTTTGCTGACATGAAAGATGATAGACGCATGGATTTGAAGTGGACTTATATATGAGCCAGAATTAGACGAGGTAAGTGCCTATTACAAAAACTAAAAAATCGTGGTAAGGACTTATAAAATATATGAGCAAGCACTAGCCAAGGAAAATAATATTACAAAAACTAGAAGAATAGTAATAAGGATGGTGATTCTAGCATACCAATGATTGACTTTTCCATATTGTCCCATTGTGCATAGTTGTCTCCTAGCCAGTGTCCTGCCCACCGTCCAGCAGTAGGATATGTGGACCGGGAAATCACAATCCCTCTTTTACCAGTTGCTTGCTGTATCGCACTAAGAAAGATGATGAAATATTCATGAGTTTGTAGAAGAGGCCTTTTTTCTCTCAAATATTTCTGTTTATGAAAACATAAAAAAAGTTTGTAGCTTGTGGGATCTGAGTTGTCTTTTAGTTATTTTATGTATGTTTTCTTTCAGGATACATTGGTTCCTGGCTGGCAAACACATTTTTCTTCCCTTCA